GTGTAACATCCTAAAAAAAAAAACACAGTATATTTCATAATTGCATTAATTTATGTGTGAACTCGGCTTTTCGATAACTTGTTTTAAGTACAAAAACAAATGTAATTTGCTGTAGCTTGCTTGTTGTATATTTATATTGCACCACTTTTTAACGCGCGATTATAATTGAACGTATTAGAAAATATAAATTATTATAAAATAACAGTTTATTTAAATCAGCACCTGTATTGCCATATTTCAGACGATCCATTTACAAACAAAATTCCAAATCAATATGCTGGACTTACTTCAGATATTTATATTGTAAAATGTAAGTTAAGTTTAACATTATGTACTAAGCAGTAAGTTATACGCGTAGCTATATTTTCTTCAGTGCGTATATATTATGTAAGATGCTAGAACACTACACATTTTGATTCGACTTAGTACACTTCTCTCCCAATAGTTACTCTGCTATAGAGTGTACATTATTGTATGCACACACTATATAACACATACTATAGCTTAATATAATATAAATTTAAAAAGGACACTAACCTTATACTTATAGTTTACGCCGCCCTCCTATTACACATAATTTACAATAATAAAACCAGAGTTCTTATTGAAACATGTTAAATTGTACTGTAAGTTACAAGAAAATGGTATCTTAAAGCTGAGATGTTTACAAACCGACAATAATATTGTTTGACGTTTTTTAAACTATCGAGAGCACGCTGCTTTGCCTTTAGGGAAAGTGGTAAAATGTGGGACATCTATTTCACCTCTGCTGAATAAAAAATAATTCTGAGTCTACTGGCTTTGGTAGAGACGTAAAATAGAATCCGATCTTAGGAAAATGTGTGACGGTTGCATTCATTGCATCTGTTTACTATATAGGATGACATGTAATGATCTTAGGAAAATGTGTGACGGTTGCATTCATTGCATCTGTTTACTATATAGGATGACATGTAATGCTACTTTACATGATGACATGTAAAGCTGCCATATAGGATGGCATGTAAAGCTACTATACAGGATGACATGTAAAGCTACTATACAGGATGGCATGTAAAGCTACTATACAGGATGGCATGTAAAGCTACTATACAGGATGGTATGTAAAGCTACTATACAGGATGTCATGTAAAGCTACAATACAGGATGGCATGTAAATCTACTATACAGGATGACATGTAAAGCTACTATACAGGATGGCATGTAAAGCTACTATACAGGATGACATGTAAAGCTACTATACAGGATGTCATGTAAAGCTACAATACAGGATGGCATGTAAGGCTACTATACAGGATGACATGTAAGGCTACTATACAGGATGACATGTAAAGCTACTATACAGGATGGCATGTAAAGGTACCATACAGAATGACATATAGGCTACTATACAGGATGACATGTAAGGCTACTATACAGGATGGCATGTAAAGCTACCATACAGGCTGACATATAAAGTTTCCTAATAGGATGACATATATTTACAGTGGGACAGCATTTTCTTTTAACAAATATTCTCTGACCAGCAAATATTTTATTTTAACACTAAAATAACAAGATAAGACTTACTCATTATAAACGGATAACTTTTGTATACATGTTTCAAACGGTACTTTTTTATTTGTTGATATTAAATGATATTTATATGCAAACACAAATGTATAAAATAAATATCCATCATAAATAAATGAATTATATAACACACATTTGTACATGCTAGTAAGGCATATGTATTAGGTTAATATGTGTTCTTTTAGCACACATCATCGTTTAATCGTGTGTCAAATGAGACTGCTTACACAGCATACTTTGATTCAGTAAAAATGTTGGTGTGAAATTCACTCATTTGTTCCTACATTTTCTTTAGTTACACAGTCGCATATATTATGTACTGAGTAGACAATTGTAAAGTTGCTGGGTGAATATTATGTGTATACTTTTTTAATAATCGACCAATTGCATTGAATAACGTTTTCGTAAATTAAAAAAAAAATAAACCGGGAGTGATATCCCCTAAACTTTCTCGAATATTCTTATATTACTTGGAATGTAGACATGATTTTTAATTACTTAAACTTTTAAAAATACAATAGAATCTCATAGAAAAAAGAATTGCGCACCAAGCGAATGCAAAATCAAAATGTGCATAATAGTGCGCAATATTATTAGTACTTTATAAATTTACATGCGTTTTTGAGAAATCGGAAATAGCGTAAATTAGTACTTCCGGTCAACGGAAATTAGTCAAAAGTTGACAGGAGGTATAAAACTAGATCTTTTACTTACGTGTGAAATTTCATTTATCTATCTGAAATAATACTCAAGTTATAAGCTTTTGAAAAATTCAAAGTAGGAAAAGTACCACTTCCGGTTATCGGAAATCGCTCAAAAGTTGATACGGATCTACGATTTTCATAAAATACTTATATATCGGAATAGACTGCTTCTTTTAATTACGGACTTATTAAATTGCTTTCTACATCAATTGTGAGAAACGAAAAATAAAAGCAATGTGACGTAAAAAGCGCCCCAAACGTTCCAAATGATGGAATTATGTTACAATTATGCATAATATTGATTTGAATTTGAAAAAAAAGGAATATAGCAAAAGTTATTCAAAATTGAGTTTACAGCGTCTCCTTTGCGGTCAGCGCATTTAGAGTAAGCATGGCGTTCTTATAAACAACAGGTGTGAACAGTTCACCGTCGTCGATGGTTTTCTCTTCAGCTTCTTAATTTAACGTGTGGCTTATCCGTACAATCCATACTAGACATTGCTAGTTTGTACGAACCTCTACCTGAGGCATATCTTGTATAAGCGTGACGTTTTTTCTCGGCAAGGTCAACCCGACCTGTGAACAGTTCACAATCAAACAAGCCCAGTAAGGCTAAACATTAGGAGTAAAATCGTGTAGACCACACTGAAATTTATAACAGGAAAAATCGTGTAGACCACTCAGTAGACTAGTTTATACTTGATATATTTTATAAGAAAATATATCTAGTATAAACTAGTCTACTTTTTTTTAAAAATCACTTTCGCGTCTTCTTGGAGGTACGCGCAATTTTAAACTTTTAAACTTAAAATTTTTAATCTATATGAAATGGAAAAAAACAACTGTTTTCTAAGAAAATCAATAGGCATCAAAAGCTGGTTCCTAATGGTTTGTTGCCAGAAAGAATATTTTTTCAACCAAAATTGAATATTTTAAAACATTAGTTTAATAAATACAAAATTATTTCCGGTTTCATTAAAGCTAGAAATAACCAAAGAAATTATTACTAGTAGTATAATAGTAACTTAGCAAACGCTTTTAGTACTTATTCGTATACTCGAAGCATAGAAAAAGTCTTGTAATCGTGCAAATCTCGACATTTTACACCTCCTAAGTCGGAAAAACTTTGAAATCGTGTCCGTATATGCGTGTATGTGTGTGTGTGTGTGTGTGTAAACACGATAACTTGAGTAACGTTACAGCTAGGTTGATGAAATTTCATATATAAGTATTATATAAAAATCGTAGATTCGTGTCAACTTTTGAGTGATTTCCGATAACCGGAAGAAGAACTTTTTCTACTTTGAAAATTTCAAAAGCCTATAACTTGAGTACTGTTTCAGATACATAAATGAAATTTCATATTTAAGTAAAAGATCAAATTATCTGCCTTACGTCAAATTTTGAGTAATTTCCGTTGACTGGAAGTAGTAATTTCTCAAAAAACGCAAGTGAATTTTTAAAGTACTAATAATATTCAGCCCTATTATTTAAATTTGTTTGGCGTTCAGTGAATGCGCAATTATTTTTTCTACGCGATTCTATTCTATTTTAAAAAGTCAAAGTAGTTAAAAATGGATTAAAAATCATGTCTATATCCCTAGTTGTTATCCCCCGTAGTGTTATCTTTATACTACTAAACTCAACTTTGTTTACATGCTTGAATATTTATTTGTTTGTCTGATTTGCTACTGGAGAGAATCTGCACTATGTGTAGAGCTGTAAAATAGTATGCAGGTAGAGAACAATTTTTGTTTTCAGACAGACTGTTAATCACACATTTTATTAAAGACGTTAATTAATTTGTTGATTTATTCATTGGTAGATTAACTACAGTAATTATAAGTTTCAAACAGTGGCTTTACTTTGACTGAATAGTGACGTAACATGATTTGTTTAATTTTTCATCAACAATGGCGGCTTCTACAGAAGAAGATTATGTTCCCATTCCAATGTTTAACACGTTCTAAAGCTAATTTTCTGTCGGCTATAACTTTAACAATACGTCCGTTTGCTGTATTTATTACGTTCGTACACTTATATCAATTTTTAACTGTCTTTTTACTTTCTCGTATATACGAAGTATAGAGAAAGTATTGTAAACGTGCAAAAAAAAAATCGAGATTTTTACAAATCTCGACGTTTTACACCTCACTGATACGGAAAAACATAATTTTGCAATCGTGTCCGTATGTCTGTGTGTCTGTGTGTCTGTGTGTATGTGTGTGTAAACACTATAACTTGAGTACCATTACAGCTAGGATGATGAAATATCATATATAAGTATTTTATCAAAATTTTAGATCCGTATCAACTTTTGTGCGAATTCCGATAACCGGAAGTGGTACTTTTTCTACTTTGAATTTTTCAAAAGCCTATAACTTGAGTACTATTTCAGATAGATAAATGAAATTTCACATGTAAGTAAAAGATCTATTTTTCTACCTTCTTTCAAATTTTGAGTAATTTCAGTTGACCGGAAGTACTAATTTACTCAAAAAACGAATGTAAATTTATAAAGTACTAATAATATTGCGCACTATTATGCACATTTTGTTTTGGCGTTCGCTTGGTGCGCAATTGTTTTTCTAATAGATTCTATTCTATTTTTAGAATTTTAAGTAAACAAAAATCATGTCTATATTCCGAGTTGCCATTCACGTAGTGTTATATTAGAATATTCGAGAAAGTTTAGGGGAGATCACTCCCGGTTTTTTTATTAAAACAAACTACAAAATCATACGCCAACAAACATAGGTCCTTAAATCTAACAAGTACGTGAAAATTTAATTTACCAAAATGTCCATTTTATGTTTATGCTTAAGTTTGTCACGCTTGAGATTGTATATTTGTTTAAACTGTTCTTTAGATCCTCCTGAAACAAAAATAAGAACAACATGTTTATTAAGAGCTTAAAAGTCCTGTAAAAAAATAATATTTTAAACAATGCGACTTACCGTGGTCTCTAGGTTGGTCTCAACAGTGTTGAATATAGCGTTGTATATCTCGTGGGGGATTGGTCTCCCCTTAACCAGGACAAAAAGCCTGTGACGTGGAACGGTAATGACCCTTGTCTCCTTCGCTTTTAACTGGACAGTCAACTCGCTGACAAACTGGTGTGGACAACTTGAGGAGCTTCGAGGATGGTTTCTTGTACCCTGTATTTAAATTGGGTGTAGTAAAAACCTCTAGAAATTACTCGATCAGCATGTCTACATTCACGATATGTAGTACATTTCTTGATATTGCCAGCATTCACGATATGTAGTACATTTCTTGATATTGCCAGCATTCACGATATGTAGTACATTTCTTGATATTGCCAGCATTCACGATATGTAGTACATTTCTTGATGTTGCCAGCATTCACGATATGTAGTACATTTCTTGATATTGCCAGCATTCACGATATGTAGTACATTTCTTGATATTGCCAGCATTCACGATATGTAGTACATTTCTTGATGTTGCCAGCATTCACGATATGTAGTACATTTCTTGATATTGCCAGCATGCTACAGAATGATTGGGCTTTCAATAGCATACCTGGAATTTCAATTGGTATACAACTATATAGCTCGGGGTGGGGGTGGGGGGGGGGGGGGGGGGGGGCTAAACAAAGCTCAGCCAAAGGTATGGATGGCAACGACTATGATTCTATTTCCATGTTAAGTGCACGATACAAAAATTAAACTTGGAATCTGATGGACCATGCCCACTGTGTTTAGTCGAAGAGTAGCAATTGATTGATCGATTTGTATTACTTTTTACTTGCTGTTGGTCAGAGAAATCTATACAATGACGTTAAGCAGCCAATCTGGATATGGTTTGTGCATGAGATATTCAGATAAGATGACGTAAAGATAAGGGACAGTTACAATTAGAAAAGAGAATTCACTTTTTCAACTTAAAAAAATAGGATATAAAAAATAAAGTATTCTATAATCTTTTTCAAACTATTAGATTTCAGAAAAAAATTAATATTCCCTCATCTCCCATGTAGATCGAGGGAAGAAAGACAGTACAATCACATAAATCAAGTATACTGCTATTAAAGATAAATTCTACCTCTAATTTATTCACGTCCATTAAAGTATTACATGATTTACCTGAACAGGAAAACACGGAATTTTTTCAACAACATTTTGCTCCAATTGTTCTAGTAGACATTCTTCAACCTTTTGCTCTGATTGTACTGGTAGACATTCTTCAACCTTATTTTGCTCTACTGGTAGACATTCTTCAACCTTATTTTGCTCTATGTGTACTGCTAGACATAAAACAGTATTACATTTTAAAAAAATTGTAAGTTATATCAAACTAATCAAATAACTTAAGAACAACTATAAACAGTTTATTTTTATTGAACTTAGTTCTGGCAGCATAATAATGTAAAACAATTTTGTTCCTAATAACCATTGTTATTATTTAGTTATTTTTATGTCTTTAAAACGCGGGTTATCTATGCATGTATAAACATAATCAAATATGGACTGTTTAAAAACAAAAAAATAAATTTAAATTTACTTAACAAAACTAATAAAAACCTTACCATTCTTTATTGAAGAAAAACGTCTAGATTTTCGATGATAATCCATGCCACAACAGTATGGTGAAGTTCTTTTTTTAATTTTCTTTTCTGACTGTCTTAATCTAAAATATAAATATTTGTCTACATATAAACATTTTTAAAAAATATTTTAAAAAAAATGTCAAAGCGATAGAAGGGCTACTAATGTTTAATACATCTTTTTTAAAAGACATTTTTTTTTTGTTTCTGAAGATCTGATTTGCTATCAACCTTTGACCAAGGTTTTACCAGAGATACAGTAGGTAAAGCTGTAATGAAATATCGGTAATGTATTTTTGTAACCAAAGCATGATATAGCATAGGAAATGTGCTGAAATTTATTTATTCATGAATTTAAAAAATACATTTGTATTATAGTGATCTGCAATTCATTGCTGTTTTGAAGCCAATGGGACTATTTAATTAACATGTAAAGTAGGACTGGAATAATTTGTTTTTGTTATTTTTTAGATTTTTAAAAATTAAAGCTAATGAGTTTACATTTTTAATGCACTAGTTATAATAATATAATAAAGAAATTTAAACTTAAGAATAAAGACTCCATGTTTTAAATATATTTAAATATTTACTTTATAAAAATGAAAAGTACCTAAAATAAGTATGTTGATCCGAACATATTCTCCATAAATTCTTTGCCAATTTAAAATGATCCAGCTTCCAATTTTGCCATGTAGGGTTTTCTTTCTTTAAAAAATGATATATAACAACACATTATTAACAATTCTATAAAGAGAATATAAATTAAATGTTTTATCTAATTCTTTAGCAGAAATACAAATCCACAGTATCTATGTTCGAAGAATTTAACCCATATTATCCCAAGGTCTCAAATTTTTATAATTTTTTGATATGGTTTAGCTTTTGGGCACTGAATGAAGGAATGACTATGGATTTTTTTTAAAAATCAATACTTTTTTAAATATCGATTTTTAAAAAAACGTCCCATAAATGGGACGCTAGCAACGAACGGCCCCATGTACATTTATTGAAAAATAAAATCATTTATCACGAAATATGGCTAATTACGCGAAAATTAAGCTGTATACTGATTTTGCAGTGTTAGACCAATGATTACATTGTTTAGGACAGCAAAAAATACTGATAATGATCAATTGGGTTAGCCATACCATGGTCTAAAATGGAGAAATTATGTTCAAAAGTCTAGTTTTTTTCAATCTAGCATCCATCAAAGTGAACAACTCTTGGAAATAAGTAAAGTTGTGATTAGTACATCTAATTATACACACATGATCACAAATATTGTTATTATTCATCGAAACTGTAATATAATTTAATATAAATAATTGAATTTTTGGGGGTAGTACTTGATATTTTCAAGGGTGGGGACTTAAATTTCAGGGGAAGGGTGGACATTGGTAAAAGTATGTTTTGTATATAAATTCTATTTTGTTCTGGGGGCAGAGCCCCCCCCCCCCCCCACCCCCTCCTCCGAAATGATGCCTGAAAGAAACTCTGCCCTCAGTGAATTTGCAAAAGATGATCCGGTCGTCCCAGGTGTCATCCACCCATCTTCTCTTTTGTTACCCTCGCTATTCCCCCCCCCACAGGCGTATATTAGGAAGTCTGAGGGGTAGGGGTGTGCAAATCGAAAGTCTAAGGGGGGGGGGGGATGCAAATCGAAAGTCTGAGGGGGGGCGGTGCAAATCAAAAGTTTGTCCCCGGTCGCCGGGAAGGGTCGCTACGCCTCTGAGGGGCCCACTAACACTTTTTGCATAGGGGCCCGAAAATCCTAGCTACGCCACTGCATCAGACATCTTATTTCTAGGGCACAGATCCGTCTCTGGGGGCCTGTATTGAGTGTTCATGGCTCTCATCCATGTATGCACCTCACTATGCGAAAAGCTCCCAATCTAGCACCAGGAATCTCCTTAAAAAGTTAACAAAGTAAAACTGGTATCGGGAACCTTTGGAGGGAAATATTATTGGGGCATGACAACTGTACACAGCTAATTCACATTTCTGCTATATGTAGCTTAAGCTCTCTTATATGAAGATAGTTAACCAACCCCCATGGCTGAATCGTTTCACCTAAATCGTGGCCATTGTTATTATTCTGTTTTGTTATAATTTTAATATCACGCGCTAGTATATTTACAGCAATACTAAATTAGTTTGTATTCAATGGTATTAAATACTTCAATAAGTATAATTCTGAAAACTTAAAAATAAAATGTAAGTTTTTCAATATTTGCAATTTTTTTAATACAATAATATATAAGAAAATATAGCTCAAGGTCATAATTAAATATATATAAATACTACTCAACACCCCAAAGTCAACAGTTAACAAAGTCAACAATTGTTTCACTATAAATAACCATTTAACATGAATATTTGCATCTCTGTTTCTCGCTAGTGTCAAAAAATTGTGACATTTGTGTAACAATCTGCATAAATATAGGTCAAGGTCATAATTAAATATCTATAAATACTACTTAACACCCCAAAGTCAGCAGTTAACAAAGTCAACAAATGTTTCACCACAAATAACCATTTAACATAAACATTTTCATCTGTGTTTCTCGCTAGTGTCCAATAAATGTGACGTTTGTGTAACAATCTACATGGGGCCATTCGTTGCTAGCGTCCCACTTATGGGACGCTTGTTGTACACTTGATATAACCAAGTAGTAAAAAAAAATTTTTATTCTTAAATTTTTATCAGATAGAAATATGGTACTGCTACAAGTTTCAAATGTATTTTGCACTTAAAATGTTAATATTTTAGAAGATATGCATTTTCCTGTGCGCATGTTTTCTTTTTTCCGCCATTTTGACAAGTCCTGCAAATCCGGCACTATAACATTTTTCTAAATTAATTTTTTTCACAAAACACACACAAATTCAATAGTCTAGCCATTTCTAAATACAATGAAACATAATTTGTGTTTTAACTAGTTTTTAATAAATTTTAGCAATTTTTTTTGCAAGCGTCCCATAAGTGGGACGCTAGCAGAATATGGGTTAATCACGTCCGAATATTGGAATTGACATTTTTAAAATCTAAAACTTTTCACACAATGACTGCCTCCGTTAAGAAATATAAATTCAAATGTATCTACATTATTTTTTGTATAGTTTACCTCTTTAGGCCTAATTTTGATGCAAAAGTGTTTTTGTTTATAGACAAATCGTAATATTTTGGGCCATACAAATCTATGAATGCGGAAATTGTCTTTGTAAACTGTAATGCCATTACAGTTTACTCCGATATTAACGGGCACCTTGTGTAGATCTCTAGCTTTATGAAGATCTACTCCATACAATGCTAACTTTTTTACATTATCCAAAAACGCCATCTGTGCCTCATGGTGTGTTTGACCCCTGAAGGTAAAAATAATACATTTAATGTGTCGATTAAGGCATTATGCTTTCTGTCCTAATTTAAAGTTAATAGATTTCTTATGCATTAACTACAAATGATCCTTTTTTTTCAAGAGTATAATTAAATTGAGCTTTATTGTAGTTTACTTACTTGTGCTCTTTATGGAACTCTGCAATTTGGTCTAGTAATTTAGGCTCATGTTTAGCCAGAAAGATGTTATTGTGTTCGTATTTCGAACGACTTTCACGGACATAGTCACCAAGTTCTGCTTGCACACAATAAGATTCTAACAAAGCAAGCATTCCGAAACTGCAAGGCAGTCTACAAGGTATAGATTGTATTTGTAACTTTATATAGTTAAATTATACACTTAAACACCTGCAAAAAGCACATGGAAATTATTCAAATATTATTCACACACACATTATAAATTATATTTTGCATTGTTTTTAAAAACAACAGATACCAAATGTTTTCCTACATATTTAATAATTTGACTCTCAAAAATTAGCTTTTGACTCATAATTATTACATTTTGCAAAATTAGTAATATTTATATTGTAATTCGTCTTGATTTTAACCTCAAATGTTCAAAATTCACTAGCTTTCATTTAATCAATTTGGTTTTATTTGAACTATGGTTGTAGAAAACACTGTTACTTTTTTTAATTTGTATATGATCATATGACAAACACATTCCTCTTTATTATTTTTAATGCATGTTCATTTAATATTTAGAGAACTAATTAGTAAAGTAGAACGTTTAGCATTGATTAATGTTTTGTTATTTACCGTCCATCCAACAAATCTGTCCGAATCTGTAGAACGACCAGCGACCTGTAATACGTTTTTCAAATGAAAACTTTATGATAAATAAGGATGAAGTAGGTTTAAGTAAGTAAAATCATCCTAATCATAGAACGTGTGGTAATACAACACAAAAACGTAGTAGTCCGAAGGATAAAGTATATGCAAGTAAAATATGAAAATGTAACGTTATTTTGATAGGTTTTTTTTATTCGCTAAATTCGTTCAGGTAATGTAATATATTTATATTGAACTTGAATGCATTATGTTATGAAACTACAGACAAATGCATATTTATATTTTTCTATTTTTAAAAAACAGACCTTGTAAAAGTTTCTGTCAGTTTTGTTGGATCTGGAGGATAAAACTTCAGGGCAAATTCAAACTTCCAGTTTCCTCCTACCAAATGCATAATTTTAACGATTAAAAAGAAAAATTTCAATCAGGTGGAAGTTTATAAAATTATTATAATGTTAATAAAAGCAATACATTTGTAATTATTTCAGTAGAAGTAAGTTTATTTATATTTTTAGAAGCTTTATTAAAATAAATAGTTTTACAAGTGATTGGCAAAATCACACATTTCATTATGATTTAAAACTGTCATTTATTTGACAATAATTATTATAGTAGTAATTTTTAATAGATCATCGCGGGGTAATTGTATGTGAAATTTACTTGATTTAGATAATAATAATTTGATAATACAATTTTATTTATGGTTTTATATGTTAAATTTATAGATACATTAAATTTTTATAGCACATGGATAAGACAAAGTGCTTTTATATATTTTCTTTCAAACTGTTTGTATTTTCTTTTCTTAAAAAAAGTAACAACTATCATCTATAAACTTAATATATTACCCAGTGATAACTATTCCTGTTGCAGCATAATTCCATTTAAACTAAAAAAGTTGAAAACTCTGAAACTTACTCTTTATTTGAGAAGACATTGGCTTGTTTAATTGAAGCCAGAACTAAAAAATAAAAATTATACACACAATATATAATATATATATATATATATATATATATATATATATATTATATATATATATATATATATATATATATATATATATATATATATATATATATATATATATATATATATATATATATTTACAAAAATCTATATGAGATCGTTTATTCTTAGCTTTGATGCTACATTTTTAAACATGTCCTTGGGGCTAATGAAGTAGAGTTCACCTGTTTCCGTCCCCTCGCTATACAATGGGAACGTGTGATCCAGGGTCGGACTGACAGCACTGAAGGGATGCAAGGGTTAATTGTATGCACAATAAAAAAAAGTGCGAGAAACGTAACGTAGTGTACGTTTTTGTAGCCCTGATATACTGCTAATGCTGATGTTTATAGCTACAAGGTGTGAATGGCGTCAATTATGGAGTGTTACTTTAAATACTGATTACATTATTTTATTTACTAATGTATAAATACTAATTATGTATAAAATACATATACATGTATTTACTTATATATATATATATATATATATATATATATATATATATATTCATATATATGTATTTATATCTGTACTTCAATACTTTATTTATACTGTTGTTACCTTATGTTCTGTTATAGCATTTGGCTTCTTGTGTTGGCTTGTGTCAATTATGGAGTGTTACTTTAAATACTGATTACATTATTTTATTTACTAATGTATAAATACTAATTATGTATAAAATACATATACATGTATTTACTTATATATATATATATATATATATATATATATATATATATATATATATATATTCATATATATGTATTTATATCTGTACTTCAATACTTTATTTATACTGTTGTTACCTTATGTTCTGTTATAGCATTTGGCTTCTTGTGTTGGCTCAGAGGCACACATTCGAACACATTACTCTAATTGACACACATCAGAGAAACAACAATAAATGTGTCTTAGTTAAACATGTAAACCTATATACAATTGTTTGTCTTCAAACAGGAATACTAACAATCAGTTACTAAATATTAGGATAGACAAAACATACGTTTGATATACATCATTTGGAGGGATGATGAACATGTCTAGATATGTGTATATAACATACTGTAGGCTACATAAATATGCTATGATAAAATATACATGTCTTTAATTCTGTCTATTAAAATACAGTCATTAAAAATATACGGTCATAAGAAATCCTTGCAAAACATGGCAAGTGACAATTTTGAAAAAAAAGTAGTTATCTTTACGGCAATCTTAATTAAGAGTCAGTTGTAGTACTCTACAAACATTTGCTTGAAAACGTAAAAGCTTTCAGCAGTAAAATTTTGTAAAACATAAGATTAGTTAATAGTAAAAAATTAAGAGTCATTTTGTCCAAAGAAAAATTAGGTTAAAAAAAAAACGACTGAATTAAATTAAGTATAATTATAATTTACTTTCCACTTAGTTCAACTGAATATACATTTTGATAATAGTCAAACATCTGCTTGAGAAAATATAAATGCATTTGAATTTCAGATGATCGTTAAAAATTATATATTACCAGTTTTTTCTCTGGTGATAAAAGAACGGTGTATTTAAGACCAAAATAGTCTGTTTCTGTTACTTTAAAATGATTACAAACAGAGTTATACAGGGCTTGCCCTACGTCGTTAGCCTGAAATCAAAATACGTTTACTCTAGTTATCTATCTAAATATATAGGCATCTAAATAAATAAATTAATAAATACACACACACACACATATATATATATATATATATATATATATATATATATATATATATATATATATATATATATATATATATATATATATACATATACATATATATCAAATCAAGATACATTTACTCTAGTTATCTATATTATATAGTCATCTAAATAAATAAATAAATTAATTAATTAATACATACATACATATATATATATATATATATATATATATATATATATATATTTACTTATTTATTTATTTATTTATTTATTTATTTATTTATATATATTGACTCGCACATATTCTGATTGGTTGGGTTTTATCTTTTTACTTACATTTATATCAAAAGTTTTGCTGTCTCCGTCGAGAAACTGAACGGTGCAGTTGACTCTTTCACTGGGATGGTTATTGTCCATAGCATGTACCAAATGGCTGCTCATGTTTAAATGTATCTGCTCATCTAAAAACCTCAATTGTTTATCAAGCAAAAAGTGAATTCTATTATAAAATAATAATAAAGTAAAAATGTGTGTCGTAAAAAGGTAAAAATGAATTGTACGTGAAAAAGCAAAACGTTGAGTGTTTTTGTTGTCTTGGTGTTTTCTTAAAGAATTGTCTTCTTTACATCATAGTGAAATGTGTTGAAAACAGGCAATTGCTAATTTTTTTGTTGCAACTTTTAAGTCATATCTTTAGTCCCTGACCAGTTGTACAAAAGTAGAAGAATAAAATAGCTGTCAAAAACGATTCTCTAAATTTGAAGTTCGTGCAGACATACACATATTCCCTCATTTGTAAAACATTATAAATGTGAGCCCAAAAAGATAGTCTAGCTCATATCAAGTGTCTCTCTGTCTGTCTGTCTGTCTGTTTGTCTCTCTGTCTCTCTGTCTGTCTGACTGTAGACTGTCTGTCTGTTTGTTTGTTCAAAACGCACAAGCCGGAGGGTAGTCTGTTTGGTGGCATGCATATTAGAAGCATCAAACCGACTATCTTTTTAAACCTGCTATAATTTTGTAAAAAATTAACATGCTAGAGTATAATCCGTAAATGGTACATAACTTTAAAAAAATTATTTCACTGAAAGCGACCAATAATGAAATAATTAGTGTTTGTCTCCCCTGTATAATTTCGACTTTCATATATATATATATATATATATATATATATATATATATATATATATATATATATATATATATATATATATATATATATTTACAATGCAGTAGTATATACTTACTTCGTGACGTGGACAGCTTGACAAAGAACTGTAAGTCTACCTTGTCCTTATATCCATGTGTCTTGTCCTAGACAGCCGATACGCTTGTCAACAAGTGGGCTAAAGAAAGGCTTAACTCGAACTACAGACGTATTCTTAGAAATGTCTAAGATTGCGCAAGTTTCTGAGAACTCATGTCATGTAGAATAGGATACAACTGATATTTAGCAATGGTTTAGAACTAGTTATAAGACAGTGTAACCTATCGTTCTTTACCTGTGATTTACCTGTATTCTGTGTCATGGGCTTGATTCTCAGTCTGGATGGTTTTAGTTTTGTAACTCGGGTTAATAACACAACAAGAAAGGTGTTCTGATGTCAGTTTATGGACGGGTGGACACTTGAACACGTTTATGAATTCACCAAGTGCGTGTCTATGATGTATCTTCTTTTATTGTTAATTATAATATCAATAAACTTTGGCTGTCTGTGAGAGTATATAGCCCCAAACGTTCCCAACCACCACCTTTCATACCCTAAGTAAAATCTATCTTCACTGTCACTTCCTTTTAAATAGCTCCGATGCTATAGAAGTGTGGGTGCTCTGTGTTAACTATTTTAATATCAATACAACGAAACATACTATAGTTATGTAACTATGTAAACAAAAGTGGCGCTACTCTAAGTATATGCAAATACTTATAAGTAACAATGCTTGTTTATTAAGCTTATAGTCATTTAAAATTAAATTGAAACAACTGTAATCTCGTATTGGTATAGGTAGAACTCACTGAGTCCACCCAGCTCTAATGTCAAACTGACCTTCTTTAGGGAAAGTAGGTGGGGCATAGTGATGATCGCCTATCAAATTCATATGCCGCGGTCACCCAAACTGATGAGTTCTACTTCACCTGTCATATGGGCTGTCATGCTCAAAAAGATACTTTAGTTTTTTTCCTTTGTTTATTTTTAAATTTTAATATACGAGTCTTTAAAGACCATCTAATTTGGAATACCAACATCTGTCTTTGTGATTTGAAACAATTTCCTTAATGTTATAATCATACGTCTTTGGTAAAATAAATTGTCTAGTTAAACACAATAAACCAATTCATTTGGATAGTTCTTTTATTCATATAATCAATATCTGTTAACAGTTGAATAGATTCAATATAAAAATACTGCGACAGTAGCAATACAAAGCAGCATTCAAAGACACAGACGCGGATAAAGTTCGACACACACATGAACACAACACCAACAACCTTGTAGAGCCGGATATGTGACCGTGTTGTGCAAGCTTAAGGATATTAAAAACACTTTAACAACTTGTGCAATGATGCATGCCTGTAGTAGCTAGTGGTTCTATGATGTTTATGTATAACCAAAGATCAACAACAAAATATAATCGAGGCACAAATCAATTGTTGGGCGTAAGATAGGTGTAAGAAAAATCTGATATAGACGAAACATAAAAGAAAGACTTTAACTGAAGGTATTTCAAATAAAAAACAATCGAAGAGTTAGTGCTAGGTGTTGTGTATGCAGGTATTTGTATCCACCACTGTCTACGCCTCTAATAGTAACAAATGTGTTTCAGTAGATATTTAAAAATTGATCTGATATCGTAGTGTTGATACATCTGATTACAAAAAATATATATTTTATAATATAATATATATTATATAAATATAATATTATATAGTATATATACTTTTTTTATATTTTTTTTTATATTTTTTAATGTCATGTACAGTAACATTAAAAATGTTTCAGTGCGTGTAAATTAACGGTAAAAATATAACGGTATAGCTCACCATAATTAACAAAGCAAACACACTTTAATTTAAGCTAAGAGAACATGAAAACTTCATATTTTGGAATAACGTAACAATAGGAGATACAACCATATGTTGTGTTTTAAGGATCAGTTGTTAATTGCTAGATATTTGTTTTTTATTTTTATTTTACACATAGTTAACGTTAGTCTAACAGAAATGTGTGTTCTTTTTCTCCAAAAAGTGACAAGGTCTGGTAGGCTACATGATAAAAAGATCTGATCGATATTACATTGTAACACAATATAAAAGACTACACACCTTCATTTTCAAGTCGGCTGTCATCTTAACTATATTTAATTTCTCACAAAAAAACGCCTATGTTTTTACTATTAACATAATTTTATGACTGACACTCAAATATCTACGTTTGTTAAAACAAAATTAACAAGAATGGTCTAAACTCTACTGGGTTAGTTATGAACTTCAACATAATAAAAACGATGTTGAGCTGAACGTAAATTGAATATCACTTCAAGTACCAATCAACGTAAAGCGAATGTCGAGGTGAATCAGGCAAAGTGGAGCTACTGTTGTGTCAGTCAACACACGAACACACACGCAGGGACAACACAAACATACGCACACACTTATTCGAACACAAACAGAAATGCCAACACACACCATGTACATTGGCCTACATATCCATCATGTAACAGAATGTCAAAGGCTTACGAATCAACGAAAAATGCATTTAACTTTAAAACCTGTTTCTTCACATTAGATTAACGCTTCCGCTTATTGTGCTTATATTAAGGGAGATAATATTTGAGTATGGACGTGTAGCTTTATAAAGGGAGGTAATATACATTTTATGGGGGATCTTTTATTTACTTAGGAAAGTAATGCTTGTACTTTTGTTTTCGGCTGAAGTAATTAGTAGCGTGTAAAGGCAGAATTAAGAAAAACGTGTGGAAAACTATAGTTGCTCAATTAAATTTTTCCATGTTTTTAAAAAGGCTTCTATATAATGAATATATTAATTCATTTCTTGGAAAAAATATTTTTTAAAAAAGGTTGTATTTGGAAATATATATTTTCCTCCATGCAGGCAGGCGGGCAAGCAGGCAGCCAACGAAAACATAATATTGCGCCAATTCTCACGCTGTCTTCTGACATTTCCATCTCATTACCGTCACGTGTTTAAAAGCTGTTGAAACGCTGGCCATTACCAGGTCAATTACTTAACATTTAACGTTTTTTGAACTTGCTCGTGAGTGCATACCTCCAGCCTAGATTACAGACATGCACTTACATACCTATATATACACTCATACATCCATACATGCATACATTAACTTACATACTTAACACGTTTATTTATTTGTTAAAACGACTGAATACTTACTATAAAGAGAACTCTCAATAAATTTTAAACAATTATTCTCATACATAAAGAGACACGCAAAATGACAATACTCACAGTCGCTTGTTTATAGGAAATAATATTATGTACATCCAACTGATCTAATCAATAGGGAATTGACAAAGTTGAATAAAATACAACAACACAGACTTGCCTACTTCGTCACGAGTTTTATATCCCAGGCTTCAGTCAGTCGTCCCTGAGTCCACCCTGTTAGGATGAGTACTTGACTCAAGTCAGGAAAAGTTAAGGCATTTTGGCATAGTGCTGACAGTACCATAACTTCGAATGACGAGATAACAGAAACATGCTAACCCGACTTTTAAATTTTAAAAAATAAACTCATGGTGCAGATGCTCTCATTTAACGGGACAAACAAACAAAACGAAAACATTTTTGTAAATACATAAAATAAAATAATAAACAAAATTCTCGATTTTAATAGTATTTAAATAAAACGAAATTCAAAGACTAGTTGAGAATATTTTTTTTAAAGTCGATTTCTGATAATTATTCTAATGTGATAATTTTTTTGGCTCAATTTACTTATGTTCAGGAACAACAGCTATGGTAGTAGAAAACTGTGTATAATCAGAGTTTCTTCCAGGCATCTCTACTGTGGGCCCCCCCCCCCCCCCAAAAAAAATTCTACCCCCCCCCCGAACGAAATTAATATAATTTATATAGAAAATATATACTTTTAACAGTATCCGCCCCCCAAAGAAAGTCCACAGTCCCCCCCCCGATATTTTCAAGTGACCCCCCCCCCCGGAGAAAAATATCTGGAAGAAACACTGTGTATAATGACATCGTAGATTAGCTGGCCTTTCGTTATATTTAAATACTTTGGTAATAGGTCTGGCGTTAACAGACTGGGAGCAAATTGCTGAAGAAACTTTTGAGTTTTACGTTGTTTTTTTTTTAATAAATTGTTTAGGTAACCTGCTACCATTACACTCGCCATTATACATTAGGTCATACGTCGCACACTTGAACAGACGTTCTATAAAGGATGGCATAGTTCAACAACCTTCTACATTTTTTTTTTATTTTACTCACGGCAAAAACATGCACGTGCACATGCAATATGAGCGTCAATAGTGAAAAAAAAAAACAACTCCAAATTGTTTTCTCACCTGTGGCCGCCTCGTCCTGATCAAGATACCATCACTCATGCTTTCATTTACTGACTTGCCGTGCTCTCCCCTATTTCTTTTTCTAAATAAATTAGTTACTTCCCTTTGAATGTGTTTTTTTAAATTCTCATTGCTTAACTTCTCTCAAAACATTTGACTTCCAATGATGATAAGACGTCCTCACATCAAATATTTAAAAAAGATTATTGTGTACTTTGTGTACTGTCCGAGACAAACCAGCTAACTGTAAACATGTTCCCTGAAACTGTCGATAGTCGACATAATCCATGAAGTTGGTTAACCAAAATGTTCAATGAAGCAGGTCAAAATGTTCCATCAAACTATCAAATTCTTCCAAAAAGCAGGTCGACATGTTTGTTCAATTAAAATTTCGACATGTTCCATGAAGCAGGTAAAAATGTTCCATGAAGCAGGTCAAAATGTTCCATGACGCAGGTCAAAATGTTCCATGGTCAAAATGTTCCATGAAGCAGGTCAAAATGTTCCATGAAGCAGGTCAAAATGTTCCATGAAGCAGGTCAAAATGTTCCATGAAGCAGGTCAAAATGTTCCATGAAGCGGGTCAAAATGTTCCATGAAGCAGGTCAAAATGTTCCATGAAGCAAGTCAAAATGTTCCATGAGGATCAGGTTTAATTGTTCCATGAAGCAGGTCAAAATGCTCCACGAAGCAGGCCAAAATGTTCCATGAGGATCAGGTTTAATTGTTCCTTTTGTCATGTGGGATATTCCCCTGAAACGATAAATTACACCAGCCTGTTATTATTTGTATTCAGCTCATTGTGCAAATGTCTGATAATAGCAGACGATAAAAATGGCGCCCAAATTATTCAACAAAAAATGTAACCGTTTACCTCATGAAATCGTTACATGAGAATCCACTTGAGACCATACCCTACCGCAGTCTCCAGCTCCGCATATATCGCATGTTACAATAGAGATCCGCGCATCTCATTCGCGCATGATCAGTTCGACACGGCAGACTCAATTATAAGCCAACATTGGCCGGAGCACTAGTTTTTATTTTGCTGTGTCAATCTGACCCAGGCACAGCGAGGTTCTAGACAGATGTATCGCACGCGTCTAGAGCTGAGCACACGGGTTCTACACAGGGGCAGGTAGTATCTGGTGCTAAATTTGTGATCTGTGGTTCCAGTGCCGAATTTATGTAATATTTTGAAATTTCGCTGAACGGTTCTACGCGTGAAAGTTTTATCTGATCAAATCTACCAAACTGACCTATTGTACACCAACCAATAAGACTAATCGGTGAGTAGTCCTGGTTGTTATTTCGCTTTAAAAATAAATGTATAAGTTAACATTTCTATTTGGCGTAGTCTGAATACATTAACGGACAATATAGGACAGAAGCAATGTGGCCAAACAAAGACTTAGACTTAATTGTAATTAGTTTATTTCTGCAGCAATCAATGAGTGATTTTAGGCGCTTTAAACGCAGGTGTTTTGATCAAAGGTGCTTTGATCATAGGAGCTTTCAACACAGGTGTTTTCGCAAATGGTACTTAGATCATACATGCTTTGAACACCAGCTAAACACATCACGATTAAATACTTTCTCTATACTCTATATACAAGGAAGTAAAAAAAAGTCAGCTATTTTAAAGCCACATACACATGGCTGTGGCTGTAGATGTTTAAAGGTTCACTATCGACGAAGTGTTGTCTTACCATTTCAACAGTTTTAATACGATGGTTTTTGTTATCCCGTTTGACTTTTTTATAATTATCTGAAGGGTTGAGTTTACAATCCTACTCAATAAAACGTTCGAACCGACCCGCGGCGTTGAATGCGCCGCTATTTAATGAAACACGATTATCCTCAACCTCTCTTCTCGCCCCCCCCCCCCCTCTCCACCGTGAAAGCAACTGTCCGTGACGACAATATACAGACGTCAATGAAAATATCAAGCAGAACTTGTTACCTCAATCGTTTAAAAACTAAATTATCTGCTCCTAATAGCCGTTACTTATTCGACCCGGCTCTACGTTTGTAAACATTCGGCGTTAACCACAGCTCAGCAGACTGGCGGGGGTGGGGGGTGATATGGTCAATTGCGCATGCCTGGAGAGCGAGGGAGGAGGCGGGAGGTGGGTTAGATAACCGGCTTGCGCCGTGGTGGTGTCCTAGTAGAGAATTACTTGATAGATTAATCCAGAGGCGTAGTGAAGGGGGGGGGGGGGCGGATGGACACATGTCCCCGAGCGCCGACCTTAGGGGTCGCCAAAATTGGTTGGAAAAATAAATTGAAAGGTTGAGGGGGGCGTGTGCAAATCGAAAGTTTTAGGGGGGGGGGGGTGGTGCAAATCGAAATCTTGAGGGGGGGGGGGGGGGTGGGTGCAAAACGAAAGTTTGAGGGGGGTGCAAATCGAAAGCTTGTCGCCACGCCTCTGGATTAATCCACTTATTGGGTTTAGGGTATCTATGTAATTTTGTGTCTATTGTTTTAACACAATTGACAATGTTTAGAGAAATCTGGCCCTTAATTGTCTATTTATCCTGGAATACTATTTTTGTATTTCTTAAGAATGCATCAAATTTAACTCAAGAATCTCATGGACTGTTTTCGTTTTCAGTATAAGAAATAATGCACGGTGAAGTCACTACCCTTAAGTTTTTATTTTCTCGTATACGAAGTAGGCCTATAGAGAAAGTATTGTAATCGTGCAAAAAAAAATCTCAACGTTTTACACCTCCCTGAGTCGGAAAACATAGTTTTGCAATATAGTCCGTATGTCTGTGTGTGTGTATGTTTGTGTGCGTGCCTGTAAACACGATAACTTGAGCATCGTTACAGCTAGGTTGATGAAATTTCATATATAAACATTATATCAAATTTGTAGATACGTATCAACTTTTCAGCGATTTCCGATAACCGGAAGTTGAACTTTTTCTACTTTCAATTTTTCAAAAGCCTATAACTCGAGTACTATTTTGAATAGATCAATGAAATTTCACATGTATGTAAAACTTCTAATTCTCTGCCTTCTGTCAAATTTTGAGTAATTTCTGTTGAACGAAAGCAGTAATTTACGCTTTTACCGATCTTTCAAAAAACGCACGTGAATTTATAAAGTACTAATAATATTCCGCACTATTATACACATTTTGCTTGGCGTTCGCTTGGTGCGCAATTCTTTTTTCTACGAGAATCTATTCTATTTTAAAAAGTTTAAGTAATAAAAATCATGTCTATATACCGAGTTGCCATCCCCCGTAGTGTTATATAAAAATATTTGAGAAAGTTTAGGGGAGATCACCCCCGGTTTATTTCCTTCGGACATATACCGAGCAAGTTTCCCTCATCAATCTCATTGTAAGATTTAGGTGGTTGCCACGGTTTATTACCTGAAAGTACACAAACTTTTCTGATCTATAATTTATGATTCTATAAATATATAACCATTTGATCTGCTATTTTTATTGTAAATTCCAGAGTAAAACAAATATCGTAAAATACAAAACTAGATCAGCTGACCTAATTGTTTAAGTGACATGCTCTGGAATGTGTTCCACAGGTCGGACCAGCTAAGTGCATTTGATAGTTGAAAAGGTAAAGAAAACATGGCGCCTGCTCGTATATCTCTTGTGTCTCTAGTTGCTGCACTCGTTCTATTGGCTGGTGAGTTGATTTGGTTTATTTTATTTTTTTTTTATTTGAAAAATGAACATCAGATACATGTTTAGCTGTTGATTCAAAATACTCTAAAACAAAAAATAGTTTAATTTGATATATATATATATATATATATATATATATATATATATATATATATATATATATATATATATATATATATATATATATATATATATATAAGTAATTGTTTTATCAACAGGTTACCTGAGTGTGTGTGACTGCACTGAGTGCACCAAAGCACATGAAACTGTTGCACGCTGCTTCACAGACAACCGTCTAACCTCTGTCATTAAAGACGACAAGTCACCCTATGTGCTGATGTCGTACCTGAACCAACAGCTCTGTCAACAGCAAGAGGATGCTGTTAAAGCAATCAGCTGCATTTTCCAGTTCCAAATAGACTGTGGCCCTCGAGCAGCTGGCATGGAAAGCTACTTCACTTCTCCAAACAAAGCTCAAGACATCGTTACTATGACTTGCAAACAGTTCAATAACATTGATATCACGTGCGCCAATAATCGATTAGGTCAAATTGTCGCATGCGCTAATCCCCCGAGGAATCAGACGGAAATGCCTTCTGCATCTGACATTGGGAAACTAATCTGCAAAGCTCACGAAGCGACTTCCTCCTGCATGAGACCACACCTAGAATCGTGTGGATGTGCCACCTATCAGGTGATGGATGAAGTGTACAGAGGACCAGCATGGCCTGTCTCGTGCACACGACCACAGGTCGGCCCTTATCGGTGTGATCCAAAGAACCGGAGTCTATTTTTAGACGTGAAGGACTCCAGTTCACACATGATGCCGAGCGGATTGGTCTTGTTTGTTGTAACTATCCTAATGCTACTAGGCTTAGAGTAGCTATCTGAGCTAGTTAACTAGTTCACCAAAATAGTATTCCCAAAACACACGGTTTTCTTTTGGTAAATATTCTGTCACCTGTACACGCCACACTCTCGATATGTTCACCCCATTTTTCTTTAACAATACTCCCGAGAGATACCCTTAAAATAAAGAATCACTTTAACAAACGTTACAACACTTATCAGCAATAATATCAGCGATATACTTAATAAATTATTCCACTTAGGAATTTCAGGTTAAAGTTTAAGGTTTACTTTCACATACTGTTATATCTAAATTTTGAAAGGACCTCACTCACGAATAATGTTTATGTGATTTTAACGCACGGTATTGTAGTGGTTAAGCGATTGCACAAAATTACTGTTTACTTTTTTTTAAATAAAAAAACTTATTACAAAATAGCAATGCTTTCTGTAGAATGTGAGCTATTCAGTTTGTACTGAAGTGTTCAGTGTGTTTTGTTGTGTTTATAGATTGTGAACACTTAAATGATTTTTTTTTTACTTTTGTGAAATCTTTAAATTAAAAAAAAAACAACCTGCAATCTGCAAATGAAATTAGTTACTACAGCAAGGTAAACTGTATTACTGTATTACTTAAATAGACCTACAATGCTGGTGTATTTAGTATCCATGTCTTACGTCAAAGTGGGCGGGGGGCGCATGGGTGGGTTGCCCCCCCCCCCCTAAGTGGGCGGGGGCGCATGGGTGGGTTGCCCCCCCTAAGTGGGCGGGGGCGCTGGGGTGGATTGCCCCACCCCCCCCCCCAAGTATTCGGTAAACAATACTAATTTTCTAGTAAACAGGTTTATTAGGTAATTTTAAATATTGGAAGCCGTATATATTATATTTTTCTTAACTCTCAAAATTTCGGTCGAAAATTGTTGCTTTTACACACCCGCTCCGAACGTATGCTATTTTACTGATCATATAGCGACACAAGCTCCTTGATATTAATCTATCTTTAAAACGGTGGATCCAGGCAAGATGTAATGCTATCAAGCAAAAGTATCTAATATTTCACGTTAAGTTTACAGAATCGTAAGAATCGTACAAAGAACTTGTGCCACCCCCACTCCCACAGTTGGAGGGGACGCGGTGGGTTGCACATATTGAAATCACAAAGATAATTCGTATAGTTTATAAAACAACAAACCTGCATAAAGAATGTAAAAAGTAATACGGAAGTGCCTGTTTTATTTTAACCCAACTCAATTGACGATTTTGTCACGGCCGACCTAGTTAGGCCACATATGAATTAAACTTTTAAAAACTTTTTAAGGCATTTATTGTTAGTTAACGTTTACATCGGGTGTAGAGGGCAGGAATGACTTTCTTCTGGATATCCAGTTTTTTGTTGACCTCATAAAAGGATGAAGGTATGTCTATTTTCCTTCGAGGTCGTCCATAAATGACGTCACATTGGTAGGGGAGAGGGGGGGGGGGTCCGTAATTTTGTGACCGTGTGTGATGAGTGGGATGGGGGGGGGGGAGTTAGAGGGTGCGACGTCACACTTTAGCATTATTAAAAAGCAATGTTTGAAAACGAATTTTATACGTTATTTTGCGTTTTAGAAAACTGTTTTAATAAATTGTAATAGGAATCGATTAAAATACTCTGTTTTGACAGAGTTCAGACAAGATTTTGGTAAAAAAATATCGATGTTTAAAAAAAATTAAACTGCAATTTTGATGGGGTTGTATGTAGGCTGAGGTGTGACGTCATTTTGACGTCTCTTTGTTTTGGGATTTTGTTTAGAGTTATAACTATATCGATATTGAAGGTCTCGTTTTTTTTGTTATTTTGGTTTCAAGCGTCTTTTTCATGTTGTGTATGGTGGGGCATTCTAAATATATGTGCGTTTCGGTTTCGGGTGTGTTTTGTCTGCATAGTGGGCAAAATGGTTTCTGTTGTTTTGCTAGGGGTGTTGAGTTGTAGATGAGTCTGTATGTTATTTCCCTGGCTTTGGGTGTGATGATGTAGGTTCTTGAAGTTGTCTATTGTGTCTGTTAGAGCGTATTTCCTACACTATTTAATTCTGTTGTACAGTGGGGTTGAGATTTTTTGCACTAACTTTTTGTAGATGTTTTGTGATTTTTCGTGAACAAGGTTTTCGTTGTTTTTTAATATTTGTAAGCATTCTGTGTAAAAGGGACTATGTTTTACTCCTATGTAATATGGAGTTGTATTATTGATTTTGTAAGTTTGTTAAGCTGAATATAGTAGTAAACTAGAGGGTGAAAGTTTGGTTGGCTAATTATTCTGCTAATGTGTGTTAGTGTGAATGTATTGATTTTGGTCTGTATAGCGTGCAGGTTTATTCCTCGATGAAGTTTGGTTTAAGCTAACGTGTTGTGGCTAATGTTTGTAATTGTGGTCTGAAATATGAACTCTCTATTGGTTTTATTCAGATGTTTAATTCTTGGCTTTGGGATTGTTTTAGTTGTGGCTATATAGGTAATTTTTGGGATGACGTACCTATTAATTATAGATGACCTAGCAAAAATTGTTGTTGAGCTAAATTTATAAAGTGCTATGGTGTTTTGGATTTTGCTTGAGACTTGTTTCCATTCATCATCGTTATTAGTGGGTTATATTGTGGGTTGCTGTAGTGGGTTATGCCGTAACGCTTTATTTTGTTGGTACCTAGCATGTTTAGTGGGTAATTTGGTTTGTTGATCCACCGTCCAAGTCCTATAATTTTGGTTTTCATTAGGTTAATTTTTGACCCGCTACTTAGCCCAAAGTCAAGGAAAGTGACTGTTATTAGAATGATAAATTTTTCGGTTTGGAGGGTAAATGCTGTATCATCAGCGTACGCTAGAATTTTTTTGTTTAATTGATTTGGAATGTCGATTCCTCTGATGTCTCCAGTGTTTCTAATGCATTCTAACAGGGGTAAATACAGAGTATAGAGAAAGTTTTGAAATCGTGCAAAAATAAAATAAATCGGTAGTGATCTCCCCAAAACTTTCTCGAATATTCTTATATAACATTAAGTGAGATAGTAACTCGGGATATAGACAATATTCTTAATCTATTTTTAATTATTTAATCTTTTTATAGTAGAAAAGAATCTCGATGAAAAGAGAATTGCACACCAAGTGAACTCCAAACAAAATGTGCATAATAGTGCGGGATATTATTAGTACTTTATAAATTAACATGTGTTTTTTGAGAAATTGGAAATAGGGCACCCCACCCCTGCGCCCCCCGCCAATTTAGGAAGCGGGGCACCCTATACCCAGCGCCCCCCCCCCGCTTGTGATGGGGGGCACCCCATACCCAGCGCCCCCCGCCCGCTTGTGATGGGGGGCACCCCACACCAGCGCCCCCCGCCCACCTAGGGGGGGGGGGGTACCCCACCCCAGCGCCCCCGCCCACTTAAGGGGGGGGGGGCACCCCACCCCAGCGCCCCCCGCCCCAGCGCCCCCCGCCCACTTAGGGGGGGGGGGGCACCCGACCCCAGCGCCCCCGCCCACTTAGGGGGGGCACCCGACCACAGAGCCCCCGCCCACTTAGGGGGGGGGGGGGGGCACCCGACCCCATCGCCCCCCGCCCACTTAGGGGGGCGCCCCGCCCCAGCGCCCCCCGCCCACTTAGGGGGGGCACCCCGCCCCAGCGCCCCCCGCCCACTTAGGGGGAGGGGGGGGCACCCCACCCCAGCGCCCCCCGCCCACTTAGGGGGAGGGGGGGCACCCCACCCCAGCGCCCCCCGCCCACTTAGGGGGAGGGGGGGGCACCCCACCCCAGCGCCCCCCGCCCACTTAGGGGGAGGGGGGGGCACCCCACCCCAGCGCCCCCAGCCCACTTAGGGGGAGGGGGGCACCCCATACCCAGCGCCCCCCGCCCGCTTGTGATGGGGGCACCCCACACCAGCGCCCCCCGCCCACTTAAGGGGGGGGCACCCCACCCCAGCGCCCCCCGCCCCAGCGCCGCCGCCCACTTAGGGGGGCGCCCCGCCCCAGCGCCCCCCGCCCACTTAGGGGGGGCGCCTCGCCCCAGCGCCCCCCGCCCACTTAGGGGGAGGGGGGGCACCCCACCCCAGCGCCCCCCGCCCACTTAGGGGGAGGGGGGGGCACCCCACCCCAGCGCCCCCCGCCCACTTAGGGGGAGGGGGGGCACCCCACCCCAGCGCCCCCCGCCCACTTAGGGGGAGGGGGGGGCACCCCACCCCAGCGCCCCCCGCCCACTTAGGGGGAGGGGGGGGGCACCCCACCCCAGCGCCCCCCGCCCACTTAGGGGGAGGGGGGGGGCACCCCACCCCAGCGCCCCACGCCCACTCAGGGGGAGGGGGGGGGGCACCCCACCCCAGCGCCCCACGCCCACTTAGGGGGAGGGGGGGCACCCCACCCCAGCGCCCCCCGCCCACTTAGGGGGAGGGGGTGCCCCCCCCTCAGCGCCCCCCGCCCACTTAGGGGGAGGGGGTGCCCCCCCCCTCAGCGCCCCCCGCCCACTTAGGGGGAGGGGGGGCACCCCACCCCAGCGCCCCCCGCCCACTTAGGGGGAGGGGGGGGCACCCCACCCCAGCGCCCCCAGCCCACTTAGGGGGAGGGGGGCACCCCATACCCAGCGCCCCCCGCCCGCTTGTGATGGGGGCACCCCACACCAGCGCCCCCCGCCCACTTAGGGGGAGGGGGGGGGGCACCCCACCCCAGCGGCCCCCCCCCACTTAGGGGGAGGGGGGGGGGGCCGTCTGATGTTGTAGAGTAGATGACAATCTTCTGATTTCATGAGAAAGGTGATCTATTTAATTGAAGCCTTTAACATAATTTGAAATAAAAAAATTCAAATATTCATAACGAAATCTACTGCACAAATATTAACATTTAATTGTAAGCCTTTATTTGAATACATCTTTACAAAACATCTTAGGGTAGTCATGTCGGTGGTATCTAGGTGCAGCTCATCTCTATCAAACAAGGCATCTGTACTTTAATTACCAAACTAGTAACTTATACTTTATGAACAAAATAAACTGGACTGTAAACAACGAACGTGCACTTAAAATGTTAAACAAGGAACCTGCACTCTAATACATATGTTTAAAAATTGACGTACAACTGATATAAAATCTAAATAGAAAATATTTTACATTAATGTTTGAATGAACACATATGGGGGGGGAGGGTGTCATCCGTATACAATGTCACTGATTTGTCACTCATTACCTCCCTTTATCCCCATCCTCGTAAACACCCTCCCCCCTCAAATGACGTAATATTTTTTATCAAAATTAAAGTAACATTTTCTGAAACTCCTCCCCCTTATCATACATGTGTTCCGTCGGTTATGGAAAATTCACATAACATATTTACAATGTAAGAAAAACAATTAAAAACAACCTACTGGTTTCTTTCTTCTGAAAACCGGGAAACTTTGTTCATCTTTT